TGTCCACTGACAATCCACAGACTTGTTATCATACCCATGTCATCTCTAATAGGCTGCTTCCTATTGAACCAAGCAAATTGGTTTAATGCGTCCGGCCAATATGTCCATTTCAGAGGGCAACTTGTGTTCTCATATCCTGTCTCTTTGGAAAAAAAACAACAGAATTCCTTTGTTGCCCCGCATTGCCAGGTTGTGATGTTGGAAGGTCTGCTAAAATAATTAAATTACCAGCACAGTTAAGTGCCGTGTCCATGTGAATGCACGACAGCTGGCTCAAAGGATTTCTAGTAGCTGACCAGTGAGACCAATAAACAGTACATTACCATCCTCAGTCACACATCTATCCATCTATCTACTGTTTGACTTCACTGGACTTTGTTATAAGTAACAGGGTGAAATTGTGTCTCATGGTGGGCATAGTCACGGGCCTACAATTATATTCAATTTTTAACAGGGTTACTTGTAATTGTGAGAAACTGTGATAAAGAAATAAAAAAATTCACTTCTACCTGCCTCTAATTTGAAATAAATTTTCTGGGTACTCATAATAGGTCTCTGCAAATCAACTGTGTAAATCTTTGAATAACTGAAATGAGTTTTATGAGTTTGTCTAATGTTTTTCATAGAAATGGCCAAAGAAAACCTTAACAGAGAGGGACATGATGAAGACAGTCCTGGTACTGTATGTATTATTAGATCAGATTTCCTGAGTCTCTTTCTTTCTGTAACTTGAAGACTTCACTGCCAAACAGGTGCTGAGAATGAAGAAAAAGAAGCTATTTGACAGGCTACTGCAGTCATTTTTACTTTCTCTCACACTGCCTCACATTGCAAAAAGACCCAGGACTGAATACTCAAATTCTCCTTATATCAGAAAGTGAGTAGCTTCTGCTTTCCCTTTACCCTGTGTTCTGCCCTTGCCCCCCACCCCAGATCAATTCACAAATATGTAGCCAGAGACCTCTGATATTCATCACAACGTCTTCCGGTTTCCTCTGATTTGTTAAACATTATGATTTATTAATGAAAAGGGATATAAATATAGCTGCTGTTTTGTGCGGTGCATTACGCTGCTGCTACAGCTTCAAGACATACTGATATCTTTGTACTGAAACAAGCACATCTGCAAACACCACAGCTAAAGTATCAAAAATGGCAGCTAATAAAAAATTAAAAAAAATAAAAACTTTGAATGACAAAATTTCTCTGCTTTGGTTAAACAGAGAACACATAATTTACTGTTGCTCACTAAAGCAACATTCTGACTGCAATTCCTTTATATATCATATGAGCTTAGAGGAGCTGAAGAAAAATAAAACTGCCTATTAATAATTCAGAATTTCAGTATGTAGATGCAGGGTTATGTACAGTAGCAGCAGGTTTATTTGAGGAAATATGATGATACACCCTAAGGCTAGCTGATAAATTTTCTTATGTATTGGCAAGCTCAAATAAAACTAATCTGGGCCAGTAGCTTAGAAGAACTCAACTAGGGGACATAAGTACACAAATTACAAATGCTCTCTTTAACTGTCTCTCATCCCTATAAATGAGTGTTTGTGCATCTACTTTCTGAGCTGCTCAGCCCCGTCTACAAGCTGACTTCGGTACCTACAGGTTTACCAAATTTACCATTCTATAGAAAGCTCAAGAGGAAAGCAGTTATCTAAAGATGAAGGCAGAGGCAGAGAAATGAAATAAAGAGCACTTTTCTATTCATTGCCTGAGCGGCCAGTGAAGTGTGGGAGCAATTTCAATACAATATGAAGTAGAGGCTTTGATAAGACTTTTTTGGTAGAATTCTCAAAAACAGCCCAAGCCCGGTTACATGTGCATCTCTGTGTTCGTGCGCATGAACGTGTTTGTGTTTTTCTTGGTGGAAGAGTGTTTCAAGGTTCGGACAAATGCAAGATTGTCACGCTCATAAAAGAAAGGGGCTCTGTCGAGGAGCCTGCCATCTAAACGCTTAAATCACATGCCTGGAATGCACAATGACATTACAGCCACCCACCCACCTGCACACACACACACAGTCTCCCTAAATTATGTAGAGTAAGACCATTCCTGGAAGAATCCATTTTCAACATCTGCTCCATCTACTTTATTGGCATGCGTATAGTCAACCTAAATAGATCAAAGGAGTGGAAATTTTATCTCGTATACACGGCGCTTAAATGATTATAGTCACACCTCTTTATTTCTTTTTTCAGTAATATTTATGGTTGTCACTCATTTTGAAGACCCATGCTAAAATCTTGATTTATTGGAAATTGTTAGAAGAAAATATCTGCCAGTGTTTCTCTTAGTTACATGTGTTCAAACTGAAAGCAAATATATTTTAAATACAATTAATTCAGTGCCTGCTTGGTAAATTCAGTGTTTTTTCATTCAAAACTATTACAACAAAATATTATCAGGCTGGAAATTGCAGAGAGATATTCTCTATTCCATGTGTTTGTTAGGTATTCATGTTTTATTTTTCATTAAAGCAGTAGAAGCCCCTTACCAACTGACAAGTGACATTGTCATCTCAGCACAAACAAGACCCCTTTTCTCCTTGACACCCTCATGTCAATGCCACCCTTCACAAGGCAGAATGCTGCCACCTAAAGGCAGCTCTTATAGCCTTTCATCCTCCCCCTTCACCTCAGTACCACCTGCACTTTATTAACATGGGTGGTCTCCTGCCGAGACAGGATTCTGTTTAATTAGAGTTTCATGGTGAATTAAATTACAACACTCAAAACATATCAAAACAAATCAATATGATAAATTATGGGCCACCTAAATGTAATGGCTCAGGACTCTCAGAATGTTTGGTAACAGTGAGGGTAGCTTCTTGAAAGAGGCAGCAAGAAAGGCAGTCAGTCGACAACCGCCTGGCACAGCTGAAGCCAAACATAATGTGGGACAAAATCCTAAAATGTATTCAAGACAGAGTGGGCACAGGCTCACTCTTTGGAGCGCATTACTGAAATCCCTTCTTCCTGGGCATTGAGGAATTTTGCAGCAGATTGGTTTTAACCTTGATTCCACACTAAGTAATTCCCTTCAACGCCTTAAGCGGAATTAGGCATCATTACGTATCATCCATCTCCTTATCCCAGGAATTCTCTTTACAAATGAAATGAAGCTCTCCACTGGGCTGGGTGCTGGCACAGTGGTGACAATGATAAGGCCAGCAGAGCTTTGCTGATATGTTCATATTATTCCCCTCTCCAAGCTAGAGACCAAGCCCAGCTTGTCTGCCAGTGCACCACTATAAAACATCATTAGAGGCCAACAGCACTGTCGAGAGAGACTGGGAGTTGCAGGCAGCTACAGTAGCCCTACTAGGTGCAGATGAAGACAGTGCCACTAAGGTGCCCTTGTGAAACTGACTGAGCAGGCAATATGTTCTTCTGCTTTATCCATCTCTTTATTTATTTCTCCTATTTAGCCTTTCCTCCTGTGGCAACTGTAGTGACAGATGGGCTGAGAGGCCTTGGGATCGATGGAAGGGGAATTCTGTCTTTGTTTCCTGACATTTTTCCCATAGCCACTCTCCTCTGACTCAGGTTACTTACTGTCCACACGAACGGAGAGAGGAAGCAGGGAGGAGGGAGAAAAATGATATGTTTCTGTACAGCTTCTGAAGAAACTTAATGCCTCAGGCCATCTCCCTCTACACAGGTTTCTGTTGAATAATACAATAGAGCACCCTGCACGCCTGACACATTGAGGGGACCCTATGTAAACAAGACACTAAGGGCTGTGTTGTTCTTGCTCTTGCTTGTTTTCCCTTTGACAGTCTGAAGGGGAAGAGAAAAGGAAGTGCACAAAATGGATGTGCAACAGCCTCACACAGTCTAATTCATCATCACTGCATTAGCAGAGAAACTGCCTGCAGAATGGACCAGCAATTATTCTGTCCCTCTGATTAGGAAGCCTTAACGGTCTTTGTGCTGACCCTTGCCCTATGCAGCTGATTCATAATGGAAGCAGGGCTGACACGGAGTGGGAACAACAGACAGTGGCCTTCCTCCCTGGCGGGAACACGTCACATCTGATCAGTCATCTTCACATCCATGTCCAGTGCAAATAGTGGGATTGAAAAGAGAGCAAACTCTAATCGAAAGACTACTAGTTAAGAGTCCATCAGGATACAACTGGAAAAAATGTGATTGTCCAATTATGCCAAATGTAATAGGCAGAACAATAATAATAACAATGGCTCACAGTGGGCTCTTTAATATTTCAATCGAATTATATTAGAAACCTAAAATTTTTATTTGTTAACAATAGGTAAACATCTGAAAAAGGTTCACTTTGCCACAATTGCCCATTATCCCCAGTGCTACATACCATACCGTCTTCATCAGGCCCTAATCCTTGTCTGACATGACACACTTGTAATGGGCTTAAGGCCAAAGACACAAAGAAGTTATTAGGTTAGAGGCTTATACACCCAAGTACTCAGAGGCGCATGAAGTAGCTGTGAAAATAAGGCCAATCTGCTAATCTCTAAGAATTAAAATCTCTACAGTTAAACTCAAATAGCTATAGAATTTGATGACTGGTGTTATGATGCTATAAATAGCAGCTTGAAACAGTAAACAAGCATCTATCACTTTTCAGGGTAACTTTACTCCTATGATATATGACTAATATTACATACAGGTAAGCATATTTATATAATATTAATATACTATTTAAAATTGAAATGGGCCCAAAACAACACATACTGTACCTACTTCAGCCCCATTCTAAGCTATTAGTTCCACAGAATCAAATGAAAGTGACTGAGTGATAAATGAAACATTTCTAGGGGAAAACAGATTTCAAAGACCTGCCATGGCAAATTTCATTGTATTGATGTCACTGTCCTCTCTGCCTGACCTGGTCTTGTTTTTCCTTCACTTTACAAACCAAGCGGCAAATGATGAAGTGGGAGCTTTCTGACGGTTGTGACGTGAAAACGGTGGCACAACAGTGAAGGAGCGGGGTGCAATTTCTCTTACCTGTATGATGGACATGCGGTTAGTAGGTGTGTCTGTAGTGCTGGTGACTGGGCCTGTGAAGCTGGTGTGGCATCCCACGTGGCCTTGGGGCACGCTGAGGTTATTGGTAGTGGGCTTGAGGTACATGACCTCTGACCTTGGTGAGCTGAGTGGCAGGCGTGTCTGGTAGTCAAAGTACATGGGAGAGGTGGCCAAGGAAGGGCTGCTTACCACATTCATCACATTCATGGCATCCCGCTCCTCCACCTCGCTCTGCACCAGCATGATGTCGTTCTTGTTAATCTTCTTCTTCTTGCCTTTCCCCAGTTGAGGGTGCGTGTACTCGGCAATGCGACAATTATAAGTACGGATCTCCTTGTTTTCCCGCTTGCACTTGATTGCTATGGTCACCATGGCCGCCAAAAGCATGATGGATATGATGCTTAGAGTTACAATAAGAGGCAGGGACATGTCCCAGTTCTGATTGTCCTTTGTGCGTGGCAGTCCATCGGGAGGATGTCCGTTAGAGGCCTTGATGATGAGTCTGGCGGCAGCAGTGAGAGTTGGCTTGCCGTGATCTGACACTCGGATGATCAGTTCCACGATGGGGCTCACATCGTCCCAGAATGGGTGAGCTGTTCGCACCTCCCCAGTCACGGGATCAATCTCAAAGAGATGCTCCTCATTGCCATCTGAGATTTCATAGGTGAGCCTCCCACTCTCGCCATAGTCATTATCCACTGCCCTCACTGTGGTAACAATGTAGCCAACACCAACGTTACGTGGGACATGGATTTCAGCGGTGTCGTTTTGGAGTAGGGGCAGGACTATAACAGGGATGTTGTCATTGACATCCAGAACACTGATGCGCACTGTGGCATTGCTCTCCAGGTGGGGAGATCCTGCATCTTTAGCAAGAACCTTAAAGTCAAAATACTTTATCTGCTCATAGTTAAAAGATCTCACAGCATAGATGGCTCCATTAGCAGCATTCACATTAACGTAGGTGTTGACATCACCCCCACTCACGTTAGAGTTGATTATGCTGTAGTACACTGTGCCATTCTGGCCAAGGTCTGGGTCATGTGCCAGAACTGAACCTAGGTACTCCCCAGGGATGTTGTTCTCAGGTATCTGAAGAAGGTAAACTGACTTGGTAAAGCGAGGAACATTGTCATTCTCATCCAGAATCTTTACGGTGAATGATTTTGTTGAGTTTAGAGGAGGAATGCCATTGTCTTTGGCCACAATGGTGACATTATACTCATCCTGCATTTCTCTGTCCAAGGGCCTGTCTGTCACCACTGTATAGAAGTTATCATAGTTCTCCTCAAGTTTAAAAGGGACATTACCCAGCACTCTGCACTGAAGCTGCCCATTCCTGCCCGAGTCCTTGTCTGTGACGCGGACCAGAGCAATGACAGTGCCTGGAGGTGCTGCCTCGCTGATGGCTCCCTGTCTCACAGACACAAAGCCTATAGATGGCCAGTTATCATTCCTGTCAAGCACTTTAACAGTGACTTTACAATGACCTGGGATCGGATTGGGGCCTAGATCCTTTGCCTGGACATCAATCTCGATAACTGGGCTCTCTTCATAGTCAATTTCGCCCTGAATCTTTATGACCCCTGTTCTGGAATCTATGGAGAAGAGCTCCCTGATTCTCTCTGGGGCATAGCCACTAAAAGAATAGACTACTTGTCCATTGTTGCCTTCATCAGGATCAGTGGCATTTAAATCTATCAGGACTTTCCCAGGAGGTGAATTTTCAGGAATTTCCACAACATATGATGGCTGATCAAACACAGGGCTATTATCATTGGAATCAATAACTTTAACATTTATCTGCATGGTACCTGACCTAGGATATTCCCCCCCATCAGTGGCTGACAAAATAAGGGTGTGATGGCTTCGTTCTTCTCGGTCCAGTGGTCGTTGAATAACTAATTCTGGGAATTTAGTGCCGTCCCCACGGGATTTTACCTCCAAGGAAAAGAGATTGTAGTCATCGCGTGTTATTTGATAGGTTTTCAGGCCGTTTTCTCCTGCATCTGGGTCATGTGCACTGGTCAGGGGAAAGCGCGTCCCTGGCACTGCATTTTCAGAAATGTCGATATCAATCTGATCTGAGGGGAAAGTGGGTGAGTTGTCATTAATGTCCTGAATATCTATTTTGATCATGCAGATCTCTTTGTCATTAGCAAACACTTCCATGGAGAGCTGGCACTTGGGGTTTCTCTTACACAATGTTTCCCTGTCGATGCGCTGCTTTGTGTACACCAGTCCACTTTGGGGGTCCACGTCAATAAGATGTGGGGCTGAGTTCTCCAGCACCCTGAAGTTGGCTTTCTTACCCTGTCCTCCCTGCCCAATCTGTTCAAGTCCAAGTCTGGCATCTTTGGCAATGTTCCCAATCACTGTTCCTGGACCCTGTTCCTCCGGAACAGAGTAATTCAAGTTTTTCAATGTCAGGGCTTGAGCCCATAAGAGGAGGAAAAAGAAAATAGAAAGATACATCCCCACTTCGTAAAAGCTGCTATAATCTGTGTTGTGTTTACTCTTCCTTTGACCTGTTGATATTTTGTTCAGATTTAGAATTTCTGTTATTCAACATCAAATAAAGAGTTCTGCTCATCATTTGAGGCCTCTGCATTTGTCTTTCAGGATTGTCTTTGCTCAATCTCTTTCTTCCTCTGCCTCTTCCAGCAATCTGTGGTGCTGAACACCTAATTTATATTCAGCTGAGCACCCAGACTCATCTGAGCAATAATCGCGATCCAGTCTCCAAACAGAATAGTTATTTTAAGTGTTCACTCATGCCACCTAAGAAGGAAAGCAGAAAAAATATACTTGTTATAATGTATATGTGTCAATTAGTCATCCAAAAACAGAATAAGATACACTAGCCATTCTAACAGGAAGAAAACAGATTCACTGCTGAGCCAGGAATGAAAAGGGTCTGGTGCGTAATTCATCTACACAATTATGTGGAAAGCAATTGTCAGTTAGTTAACCTTGGGAAGACACTTGGCAGCCCTGTTATACTGGCAAATAATTATTCCCCTTGTAGGTTATTTACTATATGCATTAATATAAACACAAGATTGACGATGCAGTTTTTATCTCAAATGTGCAATTGGACCTGACTCTGGCTGATTATGATCCATTGTCCCATAATTAGAATGCTGACGGAAACTGTCACAAGGCAACGTTAATCATGGTAACACTGCGGGCGTACAACTGTGGCGGCTATTTGAATAAGTGTGCAGAAAATGAGCCTCTTACACGCATTATCAAGTCCGCTTAATCCGGATATTTAAAACGAGTCTCATAAAATTTCAGAAATGAGCTGCCAACATCTCAGCACCGTCATGCAGTTCTCTCCGTTGATGCTCTGCCTCTCTTTCTCCCTGAGATTCAACGGTCCCTGGAAGAAGCTGTTGCATCCCCTTGTATAGGGATGGTTGTGGGAAATAATAATTGCTTGGAAATTAGCAACAGACTGTGCGTCAAGAAGAGACAAAAGAAAGAATATCACAAACTTACCAAAGAGAAACTGCTGTAATAGTCCGAAAGATATAACTGTAAAAATCAAAAGAGTCACTTGCAGCAGGTTTCGCGTACAGTTTCATACCTTAACCGTCTCACTAGGTACCATCCGTATCCTCCTTTCCTCTCTGTGCAGGAACAAAAAAGCCACAAGCCTCCGATGCACACGCAGGCTACAGTGCAGCGCAGTGGGAGAAAAAAGTGCTCCAGAAAAGTATGACTATAATGTCAATGAGCTGAAGTCCTCTCCGCTGTCTGATTAGGATGCAGCGGATCGCCTTATGCCTGCAGTGAGTCACCGTTCTTCACAGAGGAAAAGTGTTCAGAAAGATACTCTATGAGGAGGGCTGGAAATCCACATCTGTGGTAATGTAGATCCAAAAGTTGATATTTAAAAGGCGATCAGTGTGCCCGCCCCTGTCCGAAACACACTGATTTCCATGAGTGGCATTTTGTCCTTGTCCTCCGTCCCCGTCAAAGTCCTCACAGAGAGACAGCCGCTGAGGAGGTGGTCAGCAGCAAAGCCTCGTTCTGGCACACGTCTCTCTGTAATTCTCAGTTAAGTGATGATTTTTGTTATGCATTCGTACAAGTCGTTCCTTAGTATTTCATCCACGTAAAACTGCCATAAGCACACACAGCGCTTCCTCTCACTGACTGAACTCCGGACACCGCATGGTGCATTAAACATTGTCGCTGCTCCTCTGGCAGCCAATGAATTTGAAGAGGTGGGAAGAGAAGGAGGGATTCAAAAGCCGCCGAGGCTACAGACTACAAATGATTGGTGGCTCCTAGACCACCGGTGGCGCATCTGGTTTTTTCAAATATTACACTTCATTGTTGTTTACTCTAAAGGAAATCGTGCGTTGAGCTGGCTTGGCAAGAGACGCGCAGGGCCAGGCTGAAGCGGTTGGAAATTTCAGTTAAGTCATTTATCAACTTGACAAAGATTTAAATTCAGTGGAAATAAATTAATTAGAATTTATACATATACAAATTACTGATGAGGACTATGAGAGATTTTGAACTAATGAATGGTATTTGGAGTGACAAAGAAATCCTGTCTTGTCTTTTTTTTTTTTTTTTTTTTTTTTTTTTTTTTTTTTTTTTTTTTTTTTTTTTTTTTTTGATATTATGCTACCACAATAACATTTTTAAAACTTCATTTTATCTTAAAAAGTTACCTTACCTTTAAAAAAGTTACCTTACCTTTAGCTCTTAGTCCCAGGACTAAGAGCTAAAATGATTAGTCAAAAATTAAGTATTTGGCTGTTTTGGCAATCTCTTTATTGTTTAAGATATGTATCAAGAAGAAAAGCCATACCCACTTCTACCTTCTCAGTGGTCTGGATTTGCTGTTTTATTTCATGGTAAATTGAAAACCTTGCTTGTTGGGAATGTAGGGAACGCACTGGACAGATGTTCAGTGCACCAGAGTCAACACAAGAATAAAGAAAACATATACAGCAATAAAAAAAATCTTTCTAACATTCCATCCATATCTGTATTATTAGCATTTAAGAATGACTCCTTCCATATCCATAAAAATATATCATGCCCCCTCTTTTGTCTTGACTGTGGCTTTGTCACAGAGCTGCACTTTTGTCAGTTTAAAGCTGCAGTACGTAACCATAAGTACATAACCACCTTAAGTTTTTGTAGAAATATGCTCCAAAACACATCTTAATGTGCAGAGATGCTGTCAAGGTCTCTTGTGACCCCGAGTCATTGAACATCATGGCATCACTGCAAAGATATTTTGTTCTAAATGTTTTTGAGCAAGCCTCACTTCTTCTTACCAATCAGAAAAGGCTAGCATCAGGGATGTGGGGCTCACATCTGTCCATCAAAGCACTTCAAGTCTACTGCTTCTCTCACACTGAGGCTTCAGATATTGGCTAGCAAGTTCCCAAGTCCGGTGATAGCTGAGACAGTTGAAGGACTTCGGTTCTTCTTACCATTGCTCACTCTGAGAAACGAGATAGTCCAAGTAACTTCAAAACAGTGCTGATTTATTCAAAGGATCACAGGTAAAATTAACATTACACGCTCAGGTATCTTGCACCTCCAAACTGCTCGCAGGCAGATGTAAGATGAAAGACCCTGAGCCAAACCAGGCCTATACATTATATCACCCCGGTTGGGCTAGACCCATAATACACAGAAACGTCAACCGGGACGTCTCTGTTACCAGCTCTGCAGCTGGCTATAGCAGTAGTCAAAACATGAAGCAAATCAATGTGAGAATGTGTGTGTCTGTTGGTTAAGTGGTGTGTAACTAAAAACATTCTCACACAACCTCTAGTAACATGTCGTGACTTAAACATAAGAACATATTATGGCTAAGGCTACAGTTATACACGTCATAATAATAATATTAAACATCCTGTCTGCTGACAGTCATCAACTCTTCTCTCTAGTTATCCTTGACCAGATGTACCCTGTAGAAACTCATAAGCATGACTAAGCATTTAACAGTCTAACTAGACATCCTATCTCCACTAAACATTTCTAATACATAAAGTATCTATCCAATATCTATCTGACTAAAAATACCTAACACAGTGCACATGACAAAAATGGCAAGTAAAAAAAGACTCTTGAATAAAATAAACAAAAAGAAACTAACACAGTTCTATTTAGTTAAGAATTTATATATTTGCACCACTTTCAGTAGTTGAGAGTTGAGAGATGTAAGTTTGGCTAGTAAGCTTTGTAGCATTCTTGTTTGTTGTAATTTCATAATGGCTAATACCATTACCAACTGGTCACAGCAGGGTTGATTGATTTAGTGTCATGCTACCACTACAATAACTAAGAGCTACAAATATGCATCTCTAAACATTCCTTTTATTTGGTACTGCCATTTCAGTATGTCAGCTTTGTTCAGTTTAATCTTGTAGCCCATCTCTGTAAAAACACGGGTCTCAGCCTATTTGACCATCCCACGGACCTTTCTTTCTGACGGGTGGAAATGACAAGAGTGTCCAAATCATTCGTTAGGCAAATGGCAACCGAAGCTCATTATTAAACAACAGGTTTGACATACTAATGCCAAGATGCTGATAACTGATGAAGGTAAATGTCACATCACTGTTTCTATATGCATGCAGTGTGTGTGTCTATTCAAATGTGACGTGTATTTTGTCCACTATGTGTACCTCCCTCCGGAGTCTTCAGGTTGTGTCGGCATCCCCAGAATTACAGACCGCAAGATGAATCGCTGAGTAGCAATGAGCCAGATGTTAAAAAAAACAAAGGGGGTGATTTTCCAAATATGATTAGCAGCATGTGTGGAAAATAATTAAAAATGATTCAATCAGCTCTTGAATGGAGTTGAATTATCCATTTTCCTCATGACCATATTGTTCCCAAGATGGATTTTTATAATTTGCCTAAATAACATGTTTGCTTTTTCCCTTTCCAACTATGAAATGCTGCACACTGAGCTTAAACAATGTCTGGAAAATCACCTGCCTTTGATGAAATGTCACCAGTACTGCCAGAGATAAACCCCAGCCATTAGCAGCTTTCTTCATTAGCCCAATTAAATGGCCCTCAGGAAATGCATTGACAGAAAGTGTATTGGAATGGGTTGCTGGTGAACAGCTGCATTAAAACTCTTTCATAAATTAAATTTCAATCTAATGGCAATGGCCTTTCTTCAAGTGGCAATAAGAGAGTGAAGGCCTCTTCCTGCCTATGCTATTTAACAAAATTCTCTCTTCCTCCCTTTCTTACACTCTCTGATTTCATTCCTTCTTTCCTTGAGTGATAAATATGTTATGCTCATCCACCATAAAGAAATTTAAGCCATGAAGATGGACTGTGTGGTATCTGAGTGTGATCTCCAGTACCTCTGTTAGAAAAGAGAGAAGAAATCAGAGCTGAATTACACATGGGGAGTTTTTCCAGCGAGAATGTGCCACCTCTTTCACTGTCACGTTTTACTTCCCCGTTTCTCTTCGACATAAATTTTTCCATGTTGCCGACTGAATCTGTGCCTCTCTTTTTTGTTTACACGCCTTCAACTGTTCACTATGTTGAAGGTAGAGGGGGTAGTACTTGATTTAAGAAAATCTGGCTCCCAACAGAGCTGGACTAACTCTTTGTCTGTACCTATGATAGTATGAAGGCTGAGATGGTAGCATTGATGAAGCTTTTAAGATGTGTCTGTTCCACTCTTCCTAAGACATAAACCCTCTGTACTGGACACTAGTTACAGTACCCATTTAAATGACGCAGTCTCGCTGCACTGAAGTGACCCACATATGACACACTTTGTAACCTATATTTGATCCCATATGTAATATATTTTGCAGGATGATCACTGAGCATGAAACTCTTAAAGCTGTACTGTAGCTTAATTCCAAGCCATAAAATTAAGCAGAACTGCAAATAATGGCCCTGGATAGAATAAGACCCACATACAGTAAAGTTAACTATCATCTTAATCTTAGTTTGTCTTTCACACACTTGCTCTCTGTGTCTTGCTTAGTGGGGTCTATTGATAACATATTTTACACTTGCCCAGTGGCTCATAAAGGCCTTGGTACAGTATGCTTCAAATTAACTAGTTTGTATAAAGTGTTGCCCAAACATGTCTAAAGTAAAATGTGTTCATATCTGTTCCAAATGGACACACTCAAAAGTAGGGGGAAAAGTCTGCCCTCACAGAAAAAGACACCATAAATCTAAAAATATGGACAGCCTCCCTTCAAAGGCATTCATGGTGTTGCACTTGTACAACAAAAGCCACAGAAGTAGAAGTAGAAAACCTGAAATTCAAGCACTTGGTTTGACACACACGGGCCTTTGATCTTCATTCATATCAATTAAACCTAAATCGCAGTAAATAAAATGATTTCTAATAGAAATGTCTGTTCACCAGAGCTGAGTAGTGTCCAACCTGGTCAACTACCCATGTCAGGAGGATGGTTGTAAAGCTATTTCACAGTCAGTCAATCAGTTAAATAGGTTTAACAACGAGCACAGTCAAGATTTACAGTTTGCATATACATATAGCATATGATTCGCATCATTTTCATACTCATAAAACCATTTAATGACCCTTTGTGCCCTATGGATGGAGGCACTGTCATCCTGGAAGAGACCACTTATTTATTCTGCTTTTATCTGTCACCTGCTGTATACTGTGTGTGTGTGTGTCTGTACATTATGTGGACGTCTGTGCCTTTTTAAATGTTAATATATGTTGATTTCTAATGTATCTTTATAAGGGCTGCAGGTAATGAATGCTGGTTTTCCAGAGGTTACTGGACAGGATGAATGTGTTTAATGGCCAGGCTTAAACTGCATCTGTTTGTGTGCCTATTTCTGTTCATTTGACTGTGTGTGTTTGTCTCAGTCAAATGTTCACTGTTTGCATGTTTCCAGAAATATTTCCTTGATCAGTGCTCACTGTGGGGCCTCAACACAGGCCTCACAGTGAGATTATGAGCCATAATAAGTTTCTAATGTTGAAGGGTGATCATGGATTATCACAGTCAAAAAACATTTGTATAGTTTTGTGTGAAAACTGTGAAAATAATATTTTTGTGTAGTTTGTGGTTGTGTGGACCGAAAATGTTTTAAATAAAGTCGCTGACTTGTATACATGCATTAATGCTCTCAGCATGATCTTAATAATAACCCATCTTCTCTGAAACT